AACAAACCGAAAAAAATAAATCATATATTTATGAATATCTCCTTTCAGTTTTCCAATCATGCATGGTGCAACAGTATACCCCTTCTCTTCTGGAGAGATCTTGGCCCCTGTGTCAAATAAGCAAAATGTTGTATAGTCTTCTTTGTTGGAAGCGGGTGTTAGTCGGTGGTCTTGAGGCTATCATAATAAAGTTGTTTTCTTCTCTTTCTTCTCTCGGCCGGGCGATCGCTAATTGGTTTTAAGTTCGGAGGTAAAATGAGAACTTCAACAAAAGGGAATTTGAAACTTATCTATTTTATTAAACACGCCGACGTATACATTCTTAACTAGCCAGTAGGGTCGCTCTATAATCCTCATTGGGGAGCAAGTTCCTCGAGACAAGAAATAACCACGTTTATGACGTGTAAAAACTTAACGCCCTGAAATCACTTTCTATCTCTCTAACATTCTCACGTTCGGCAGAGCCAATCAAAATCGACATCCCTATTTTATCTGCCATCTGACCTTAAAGGTCAGCTGCAGGACGTCTGGGCCAAAATACACTCCCACTAAAACGATAATAGTCTGAAACTATTATTTGACTTCCGTATGTAGGCAGTTTTTTTTCTCACAAGTTCTGGATTACTCTAACATCCTTCACAAATAAATCAGTCTTACCTAGTAGTTCAAACAGTTCAGCATCAAACGCTTCTTAATAATCGATAAAACATAGGTATAGATCCTTCTGCATTTGTATTGCTCATTCTGAGCATAAATATCACATTATTTATTGATCTACTCTCCTCCTGATTGCCCTTTTCTCTTTCTCCTCCTCCTCATTACTAATGTTTCTGTTCCTAATTCCTCCTCACCCTCCTCCTGCGTGCTAGTGGCTGTACCGGCTTGCTTGGGGGTGATACCGATTTGAAAAAAAAAAAACTTCCTTAAGATGACTAATGTCTGAAATGCAAATGGCAGTAGGTTGGGATTCTGTTTACAAAGTTGGTTCCATTAGAGGTCAAATTCTGTTTTAAGAGTTGATAAGCCGTAGAAAACCAATCACTTACTCAAATCCCGTTTTCCAGCATTTTATATGATCCGAGCTGTAGTCACTTCCCAAGTTAGCTGGATTAAAGAAGAATCTGTGCAGTTCAAGGTGGTTTTAACACGTTAAACGTGGAAATAATTGCCTCAACAAATTACCTTATTTAATAAGATGTGTTGGATTAATTTAACATTCTTCCTACGAGATTGGTTTAGGGAGGAGTGTGGTCATCTGTCAAAATAATTCAGGGGAGATAATCCATGGATAACCGCACATTCCAAGCCACCAAATCGATTTATTTTTCTTTTGCTTGTGTTGGGCGCGTTGCCAGTAATTTGCTGGTTACAGCAAAACAGCTTTGTAAAGCATGAAGTTAAATTTGACAAATGTTATTAAACACTGGATTTGGCCCGAATTGGGTGTGCTTGGAAACGTCAAAACAAATTTGGCGAAGATTATTTTGAAATACTAAGTTCTACGGAGTAGGGCGTTAAAGTGATTACCTATCTTGATTAAGCTTCTATAATAGATTTTTTTTTTTGTCGAAATAGCGATTTTGTTTTTGTTTTTTTATTTTTTTTATTTATTTATTTATTTTATTTTTTTTAATAGTAAATTGACCAGTTGTACGGGAATAAAAACGTTGTTTCATTGCAGCCTGTAAACTTTCCCAGGAACCGCCTTAAAACAGAAAGAAATAAAAGAATCCCAAACGTGGTTTCAATTATGTATCTTCAGATTCTACAGCGTTCAGTCGAAAGTCTAAAATTAATTTAATTTTTTTTCTTTTTACAAAATTTGCAGAAACACTACCTATTTCCAAAACGTGCATTTCAATGCTACAGCGATTTGATTTAGTAAATATACTAATATACAGTCTCTTTACTTCGCAATTATACCGTCTCTTTACTTCACAATTATACCGTCTCTTCGCAATTATACCGCCTCTTTACTTCGCAATTATACCATCTCTTCGCAATTATACTGCCTCTTTACTTCGCAATTATACCGTCTCTTCACTTTCTTTAAAGACAATGTATGTATCTTTGAAGTTGATTTGATAAAGATGTCTATTTTGTTCATGCATGTAAGTGACAGAAATTATACGGCTTCTAACTTAATTGTTACTTCATGAAAATGTTGATTTTTTTTTAGGTGAAAGAGGATCAATTATTTTCACTGCCATTATGATTCTTCTTTTATGTGACATGTTCTTTCAGCACGTGGATGTTCATGGCCCTCCACCACTTCTATCCTTTGTAGCTCCTAGCAACATGTCTCTCTACTATCCCTCGTGTGTCTCTTTTGCCATCCATTTACACAAACTCGTTATGCAGTTTAGTCTTTTTTCCCCCTCTTCTTTTCAATATATCCCGTGAATGTCTAATTTTCCAAGCCTTCTTTCATCATTATGTGCCTGAGAAATTTCAACTGTCTCTATTTTATTCCGAGTACAAGTGTCTTTTTTCTTCGGACTTTTATTAAAACTTCCTCGTTGCATTCATGCTCCGTTCATGGAATTTAGGTAACGGTGGCACAGGTAAAATGGTGCAGTAAAATGGCACAGGTAAAAATGGCAAAAAAAAAAGTAAAAATGGAACAAGCGGGAAAATAGGAAAAAATGGCACAAAGCAAAAACACACAGGGGAGAAAAATGAAATGCACACATTATCTATTCAGTAAATTATGAAAACATATAAATTTCGAACTAGTAACTCTCTAATTAGACGCCAATTGACTCCTGATTCAGTTGCCATCATTGACTCTATCACAAGCCCATCATGGAAGTTATAGCTAGTAATAAAGGGAAAGAAAAGATTGGCTTCCAAGGGTATATGTATACAAAACAGGTTGCAAGATAGTCATCCAGTTTATCGCTATAAATCTGGATAGGTTGATCTGTTTTTGCTGCTTTTCTCTTCCTGTTGATGCATTTCGTGGGTGCAATAACTGAATAATCAGTAGCGTGGTTGTGGTTTTTAGCTGCTACAGTCATATCAAGGCTGGTGGTCATGGTACAGGATCGGTCATACCAAGGCTGGTGGTCATGGTACAGGATCGGTCATGCCAAGGCTGGTGGTCATGGTACATGATCGGTCATGCCAAGGCTGGTGGTCATGGTACATGATCGGTCATACCATGGCTGGTGGTCATGGTACAGGATCGGTCATACCATGGCTGGTGGTCATGGTACAGGATCGGTCATACCAAGGCTGGTGGTCATGGTACAAGATCGGTCATACCAAGGCTGGTGGTCATGGTACAAGATCGGTCATACCAAGGCTGGTGGTCATGGTACAAGATCGGTCATACCAAGGCTGGTGGTCATAGTACATTTACGAAAAAATGTTCCCTTAACGCATCTCCATTTGATAGTAATTGATCTTGCAATCTGTTTTGTATAGATGTACCATTGGAAGCAAACCTTCTCTTTTATTACTTGCTATAACTCCCATGGAGGCACGGAGTAATGGGTAACGGCTCGGATTGAAGAATAGGAGAGCCTAGTTCGAATTCCAGGGTAGATGTATGCAAAACAGATTGCAAGATCAACTACTATCAGATGGAGATGTGTTAAGAGAACATTTTTTCGTAGATGTACCATGACCACCAGCCTTGATATGACTGATCCTGTAGCAGCTAAAAAGCACAACCACGCTCCTGATTATGCAGTTATTGCACCCACGAAATGCATCAACAACATGAAGAGGAAAGCAGCAGAAATAGAATATAAACCTAGCCAGATTTATAAGCAATAACCTGGATGACTTGATCTTGCAATCTGTTTTGTATACATGTACCCTTGGAAGCATTACTTGCTATAGCTTCCATGATGGGTTGGGATAGAGCCAATGATGGCAACTGAATCCGGAATCAACTGGCGTCTAATTAGAGAGTTACTGGTTTCATATTTAGATATATATGTCAGAATTTACTGAATAGATAACGTGTGCATTTCATTTTTTTCCCTTTTTGCCATCTTTTTCCTATTTTCCCACTTGTGCCATTTTTATCTGTGCATCCCGTTCATGATATTCTCAGTATTTTTCTTGTCACGTGTTCGACAAAAGAAGAAAGATAAAGAGAAGTGAACGAAAGAAGACCAACTAAGTTTTATAGTAAACAAAAAAAAAAAGAGGTTTTATTTTAATTTTAGTGATTATAGTCAGTTGCAAAAAAGGAAAAAAAAAAACAAAGGCTTACCTGCAAGTAGTCAGGTCAGCGAATGTTATTAAACGAACTGCTCTCAAGCAGATTTCTGTAAAAACTGATTTTGCTAGCCAACTTGCTTAATTTGGACACCAAGCAACAAATACGAATACCCGGATGAAAGATCTCCACCTGTAAGGTCATCCGACCACCTCTACCCGTAAAGTCATCCAACCACATCAAATAACCAACAACTCGAAGTTTCATTTAAAAAAAAAATAGATTCTCTTCACGTTCTGAAGATCCACATCTCGTTTACTTGAAGTCTTCTTATCATCTATGAGGAAATAGTCTAACATTCACGGCCATATAAAGAAGATTGATATTACATAGCAGTTCAGCCATCTTTTCTTTATTTTTGTTGCCTCAAGTCTCCTTTTCATCTGTGAGGAAATTCGCCAACATGCACTGATATTTTGGAATCCAACACGTTTTTCTTTCTTTTCAACGAAATTTTACTGTTTCTTAATACTTTGTTTAGCTTTTGGAAGGCATCTTTCGCAATATCACTCCGCCTTGGGTTTTGCTGCAATATTTTCTGTTCAAACGAAATCATTTCTTTTTTCTGTTAGAATAGAAATTGTCAAAGAAGGTAACAATAGTCTGAATTAACTTAAAATACAATGATACCGGATGTGTGAGTAGTGTAAGAGTTATCGGCACCGGAAGTGGAATCGATAAGCGAGTCCATTGCATTCGCTTTTGCACAAATGACATTGGGAAAGGCAGGGAAGTCAGTCTCTTCTCCGTCTTATAGCCGCATCTCATTGAAACACCGATACCCGTACGATCACCAAAGTTAAGCAATGTTCAGCCTGGATAGTACCTGGATGGATGACCGCTTGTGAATCCCAGGTGCGGTAAGCCTGGATGTGTCGGGTGGTGTAATGATGGGTCGGAATTGTTAATCGGAGAGCGGAGTTCCAATTCCAGTCGGGTTCGTTATATTCACGCACGCGCAGATACCCTTGAGAAAAGTATGAATCCACTTCTTCTCCTCTCAGCTTAGGGTTGATTACTAAGATTCGTTTCACTAAATCATTATCTCAAAAAAAATTTACAATCTAAAAATACTTTCTGGTTTTAAATAACCTGCCAAGGGTTGATAACCCGTAAAAACACGAATCGATCAATCAATTTAATCTCTTGTCGGCACCAGACTGGCTTATTTAACACACTGCGTTTCAACCAATCTAAGAGTAGGAATCTAAATACTAAACTCTAGAGAAGGCAATAGGAGACTACAGACAAACAGAAATTTTCGATGATGTCTTTAATGACTTTCTCTGGTTTCCTAAAATGACACTGGATTCGGATACATATGTTTCGAAATACGAGAGATTACATCGTGAAAATAAAAACAAATTTATCAAGTGTTTCTTAAATTTCAATTACATTTATTTAAAACTATTAGGTTGGTGCAAAAATAATATCGTTTTTTTGACGTTCGACTTAACGACAAAAAACGACATTATTTTTGCACCAACCTAATACAAACGATCACTGAAGATTTCCATACGGGTAGAATATGAAAAAGCCCGTAGCTAAATATACGTTAACTTCTACTAAAAATATAGAAAAATCACGAATTAGTACAAGTGGGTTATTTTTGTTGTTGATTTTTTTTTTTTTTTATTTGAGCTTACAGATCCCTTTGGGGTTATTTAAAACCAAAACACATTCGGGGGCGTAATAATCACCAAAAATCATGTTTCTTATCGGAATTTGCTTTCTGGCTAAGAATTTCAAAATTTGATTGCAATATCGCACTCAGCGATTTCACTTAGTTGCGGTGAAACACAGAAATAATTTATAACATTTACTGAACAGGGGTTACAAAGTTCACAGCTAGTGATGCAGTCGGTTCATATGTAGCATAGAAAAATCATAAAGGATTTTGCTTAATTTGAAAAGTACTAGAATTCAGAAAAAAATGAGGTTGCTAAGAACGAATTTTCGTTCAGTCATATAACTTTTATTAGTTATATATTTCGATTAGTCTTTTGTTATAATTGTTCTATTTTATTATTAGTTATTGATTTTAATCTCTTATGCCGAATTTATAAATTAAACTTTATCACATACATTTATTAATGATTTCGAATTTCTTGGAAGAAATATTCGGTGTATGATTGGAGACTATTATACTTCTCGTCAACTGATCAAACCTTAGAAAACGCCGAAAGGAAACCGTGTCTTCCCAATCTTATGTGATCTGCTGTAATTGAAAGAAAAGCTGAAATTGTGGAATAGAAAATGTCTGGATGTAAATACCCCCAACTGAAGTAGATAAAAGATCAGTTTCCTTGTTATTTAAGGTTGTATTCTCAGAATGCCTGTGATTAGAGAGCTGCCGAATGAATTCTTTGGCTAATATCTCGCTTCAAAGACTTTGATGCCAAATAACCTTTCGTCTGTCAATGTAGTCATCATCCTCATTATAGGTATTAACAGATTGAGATAAATAGATAGATAGATAGATTAACAGGCAAGAAGATAGATATTAATAGTAAGTGTGTGTATGCATACACACACACACACATATATATATATATATATGATTACCTATTTATATATATATATATATATATATGATAACCTATTTATATATATATATATATATATATATATATATGATTACCTATTTATATATATATATATATATATATATATGATTACCTATTTATATATATATATATGATTACCTATTTATATATATATATATATATATATAACCTATTATATATATATATATATATATATATATATATATATATATATGATTACCTATTTTTTTAAATATATATATATATATATATATATATATATATATATAAATTATAAAGAAAAGAAGAGATATTAAGAATCTACCGATCTTTAGCATTTACTTTTTTAAAGTGCTTTATAAAATGCAGAACGAAATATTTTTATATTTTTACTTAAAAATATTTTACGTCGCAACATAATATTTTCTATGTTTCCGAATTTAAAATTGTCCCGTCGATGCGATATTAGGTAACGAGAACCATCCCTCCCTCCCCCCATTAGAATGTGTCACTCAACTCCACGGGTGCACCTCTTTGCGACTGCTCGGTCTCACATTGTCTGCTGACCTGAGATGAAACAAATACACTGAGTCAATAGCTTCGTCCACCGCAAGAAAGTTGTCTCCCTGTGCCGCGCCAGGAAATTTCTCTCACCGGAGTCCATCCTCCAAATCAACCATTCGCCCTTGCATGGAGTATTATTGCCATATATGGTCTGGAGCCCCTTCTGTTTGTCTCAAGGTCCTTGATAAAATCTAGAGACAGATATGCAATGTAATTGGTCCTGTTCTGGCATCTCGATTGCAGTCGCTCTCTTACAGACGTGCCGTCGTATCTCTCTGTCTTTTTTACAAATGCTTTCATGGTAATTGCTCCGATGAGCTGCTTTCGCTGGTTCCCAGACTTCATGAATTCAAGCGCCCTACGAGGTTGGCATCTCGCTCTCACCCTTTCACTGTTGAAACTGTTAAATGTAGCCGTCTCTTCTACTCCAATAGCTTCATGTCTCACACCTCACGCCTGTGGAACTTCTTCCCCTTTTCCTGTTTCCCTGATAGCTATAATCTCCAACTATTCAAATGTAATGTCAATCGACGTTTCCAGATGCCTTGATCTATCCCCTATCTTTCTCTTCATCCTTTCCTCTATCATTCCTCTTTGCTCCCACTCCAACTCTCTGTAACCATTTGCGTGCTAGTGGCTTCTCGCCTTGCTTGGTGTGAAAAAAAACTTATGATGAAAATGATTTACTTTTGAAAACAAAAAACAATACGTTACATTATTTACGTTATTCGGACTATTGTCACCATCTTTGTCGCCATATTTATTACAACGTTTCGGCCGTTTTCTTTGGGGTAGACTGTTCTAAGGCAGTGGAGAACTTTCAGAGGGAAATTAACAGGAGATAACTGATAATTGACATCCATTAAACATTACACGTGGAACGAGAATAGTCTACCCCAGTGAGCGAAATAAAGAATTCATTTCTACATTCCAACCACCTAAAGAAGGCCGGAGCGTACAACGGCCGAAACGTTGTAATAAATATGGCGACAAAGATGAGGACAATAGTCCGAATAATGTACATAATAACTCATCTCAGAAATATAGACAAATACGGTACATTATTTGAGATTTAAAAAAGGAGGGGGTACAAGATTTCAAAGTATTATTGGTATGTCTATGTTAACCAATCAAAAAACAGGCCATGGCTGAAGCAAGAAAAGTGAGAAATATATGTTGGAGGTTATGGGTAGGTGTGTTATTTAATCCTGTATGGATGAATTGACAATTTTTAAGACGTGTCCCTATTAGCTTACTTCCGGTTATGAATATACAATAAAGATATATTGAATTATTCAAAGAGATATACTTAGTAAAAGGATCATTTTTAAAGAATTTTAAGATTTTTTTTATTAATAATTGTTTTGGATAAACTTGAGAACTATTTTAAAGGGGCGTTTAGTGTAATTGAATCATATTTATTTATTATATATATATATATATATATATATATATATAATGAACGCAAAATACAATATTTATTATGTTAGATGGACAATAAAACCTAGTTGTATTACAATTAAAAAAACAAAGAATTAAATAACTATTATATGTACCATTTATATATTAATAAAATAATGGATATTTAAATGTAATATATAGAATTTTTATGAAAAATTCTATTAAATATATTTTAACGTAAATATTATACAGTACCTACAAAATAATGTTGGTTCATTACACTGTTTTAAGAAATCAATATTTTTAGGTAACTTAATAATATGCAGCCTTCCGTGTAGACTCAGGGGACATGGGTCATTTAAGAGTTTACAAATTCTCGTTTCTTTTAATATTTTCCATTTTACTGTGGAAGTTTCATTGATTTCTTTTAAATACCAAAAATATTTTGTAAGGGATGTTCGGTTACGGTACGTATTGTTGTTAAAGGAAGAAATATGTTGATACCATCTTAGTTTACACGGGTTTTTTGTGCTACCAATATAAAATTTCTCAACGTTTTCAGTAGATGAAATGGTGCATGATAAACAATAGATTCAGTAAATCTAAATTTGCAATGGACAATTTATGGGTTTTCTACAATAACATAATTTATTATCAATATGATTGCTTTCAGCTCTATAATTATTATTAATATTTACGTTTAAATGTTTATTTAAAATTTAATTATGTTTTTTTTTTAATAATTTTTTCTATGTTATCAGTACAACTATAACTTGATTAAATCGTATTTTTATTGAAAATCTTGCTTAGATGATTATTATATGGAAAATATTTCTCGATCAAAGCAAGAAACCTTTGCCCTAACTTAGTGCTATCCCTTTGATTAAATGGGGGAGGGTACCAAATGATTTTACTATTTCTATTTTTTCTTCGGCTGTCATTATCTTTTCTGTATTAAATATCGCGGCATTTATATCCAATAATTCTGAAGCATTATTATAAAAATTAGTGTTTATAAAATGTACCTTCATTGTCAGAGTTAATACTAAGTCATTATTCTGTGGATGAGGGTGATTAGACTTTGGGTGGATATAAAATAGATTAGTATTAATTTTGTTATATGGTTGGTATATATTGTTACAAGTCTAATGTTACATCGAGAAAGTTTAACTTTTTTTTAATTTCGTATTTATAGTAACTTTTAGGTTTAGGTTTTTAAACTCCCCGCGCATTAATTTTTTAATTTTATCAATTGTAAAGTTATTGGAATTCCTCACAACCATAAGGCCATTATTCCTATATAATCCTCTATCCTGATGTCATGGTGGGAAGTAAGATTGTATAAAATAAACAATACAAGATCGGAATACTCCGCAGAATCCAACGATCCTATTGTAATGTCAAAATTGTCTCCTGAGTTATTTTTTTTATCCACTGTTCCTTGTTGTGGATAAAGACTGATTTTTATTTTTATTTTTTTTTTCGCATTCATGATGATATTCCATTCTTCCTTCGTTAAGTTCGAATACACAGTGGCAAATTCTAAAGCAGATGTAAAAAGTTCCCTTGAAATGGACGGATAATATTCCTCGATAACAAATTGTATTAAAGAACAATTGGCTTTATTTTTTATATTACAAAACCAATTGCTGATAATTTGTGATATTGATCCATTGCTTTAATCCAAGATACTCCTTAATTTGTTTATTTATCCTTTTTGGATGATTTTACGTATTCTATCAATCTCAGACTTAGTAGGGTTTATTAGTCTGGTAGTAGGATGAGTTTCAAAGTCAGGTTTATGGTCCTTGGAGTTTATGTAACATACCTTTGTGCTGCATTTACTAACTCTGTCATTAATTTTCAGATTATCCGTGATATTTTTCCTAGATGCATTAACACTGTCTACCAAATTAACGACATTATTATTAACTTTTCTATACTTTTTCTCAATTTTCTTTCTAATAATAGTATTATAATCCTATTACTTACATATATATATATATTATATATATATATATATATATAATATATATATATATATATAATATATATATATATATAATATATGTGTGTGTGTGTGTGTGTGAAAAGTCTGGGACAGACGGATATTAATGGATAAACTAGAGAATGTGGAACACAGGATATTAACAGAAACATAGGCATATGAATGTTGATAAAAGACTAAGGTAGACTGATATTAATAGACCAAAGTAAATAGATTGACAAATTCTATTTTCTATAGCTATTTGTATTCTGTTTTGCATTCTTATTTCTATAGGCTTTTGTTATTGAAAATGTTCTTATTTTTTAAAAGCTCACATGATTTGTTGGTTTATATTATTTTTTCTTGTACCACGCCTTTGACAACAAACTCTAAGTTTATAAAAATGAATTACAATTATTAACAACAATAACAATATTATGCGAGGGAATGCTGAAAATTTTTCAGTCCGACCAAGAAGGGATTTAAAAAAAAAAAATAAATGGATGAAGCTGAGAGATTTTCAGTACCCGCTTCGTAATGGCTGCCCTTTTTTTTCTAATTCATGTTTTTCCTTTTGTGTTATTAAAGTTTTTTAATTATATTTGTTAAATTTACACATCAATCGTAGCTGGGAGATTTCGCTGATTATCAAGTGACAGCAAGTCTTCTCAATCTATCAGCACCCTACTCAATATTGAAGCTGATTTTCATGTGCTTTTGTTTTCGGCTGATTTTTTTCCCCGAATATTCTTCCTAAATTCCTGCAAGAGTCTTTGGAGCTGTTTGGAATTATTATTAATTGGCTGCATTTCATTCGTTTTGACGCAAAAAAAAGAACGGTTCTACTGGTAATGATACAAGTACAGCCGGTTTTTCTTATTACAAGACAAGCAACGTTTGTACAAAGACTTATCATAATTTTTTGTAGATTTATCTATTTTTATATATCCTGAAAGAAATGTTTGAATATAACTTGAGGAAGACAGAAATTCTGTTGAAATATTGTTTAATATTGTCAAACACTGTGTTGTTTTCTTTTCTTTATCTTTTCTTAAATCGTGCTCTTCTCTTCACTGACGAAACACATTGGAAGAGCTACGTCAATTATTTTGTTCATTATTAATAATAATAATCAAATATTTATGTGCCATAATTTTGCTGCAATTCACAGATAATATAGAAAAGGAATCTGTGAAGAGACATGATCCTCTACGTCCTGAAGGGCCATGGCATTTCTTGCTTTTTTTATTATATAGTAACTGGGAGCTTTCGCTGTTTATTAAGTGACAGCAAGTCTTCTCAATCTATCAGCATCCTATTCAATATTGAAGCTGATTTTCATTTTTCTTTGTTATCGGCTGATTTGTTTTTCAACATATTCTTCCTACATTCCAGCAAGTGTCTTTGGAGCTGTTCAAAATTATTGTTAATTGGCGTCGTTTCATTAGTTTCAAAATATCAAGATGAACAAGATCAACATCCTATTATGCACTTTTTCAGTTGCATGCCTTCATGCGGGCGTCGTTCCATTGGTTCTGACGCGTTCATTACCAGTAAAGCCGTGGTTCTGACGCGTTCATTACCAGTAAAGCCGTGGTTCTGACGCGTTCATTACCAGTAAAGCCGTGGTTCTGACGCGTTCATTACCAGTAAAGCCGTGGTTCTGACGGTTCATTGTAAAGCCGTGGTTCATTACCAGTAAAGCCGTGGTTCTGACGCGTTCATTACCAGTAAAGCCGTGGTTCTGACGCGTTCATTACCAGTAAAGCCGTGGTTCTGACGCGTTCATTACCAGTAAAGCCGTTTTTCACTGAAGGGTGAAGAGGTCTTACTAAAATCTTTCTTTTTCAGTTTGTTTTCGGAGTCCTCCCCATAACATAGAATTTTTATACAATTCATCATTTGTAAATATCGTCAACCATTTTGTACATTAATAATAATAATAATCAAATAATTCCGTGACGTAATTTAGCTGCACTTCAGATAACACCTGTTGACATTTTCGACCCAAATGTTGTTGGAAAATCGGCACATGTTTCTTGGCTATTTTTTTCACGCTGAACCTGAAAATCAAGTCCCTTATGCTTCATCACATCACATTTTCTCAGTACAGATAATTTCTATTTTGTTTAAAATAGACCAAAATGCCTAATTCACAGGGATAGTCCACGGTTAAAATATGCGAATGACATAGTTGAAACATTTCGTTTCATGATTTATCATTCAAGAAAAAGTATTCAAATAGCTTTCAAAATGAATTCTAAGATATTTCAGTTTCGATAATCTGACCCGAAAATGCTTGATTTTATGAGAGATATCTCACTGGAAATTATCCTTGTGCCCTCCATGTTCTTAGCTTGTTAAAACTTTGTGATTTGTGTTTCTTCTCTACTTTTTTATTCAAGAAAAGCGATGTTAGTTTTTATTAGCAGTTTTCACTTTAAGCCTGAAACGATAAGATTTTATCGTATCGCTTGAATTTACGGAGGTCTGATATTGTCATGCAATCTCTGTATAACATGCATAGGAATATCGATAAATGAGGGTCGTTAGGGTGTTAGACGAGTGTATTTGAGACTAGCAAGATTAGAATTTTCTTTATCAGCGCTTAAAATAGCCGCCAAACAGTAGATAGGCATAGCTAAGTAGGCACTTTGCAAATGGCATGTTAACATAATGGCTGATTTCTGATGGAACATCAAAAGGGATCAACCTTTTCAAAAGCATCGTAGAGTTTCCAAGAAGATTTATACTTTTGGATGGACAAAAATGAATGGATTTTTCATTCCTTTCTATCTTTATTTTGATTCAAGAATTGATGACACACGTTTGCCTTAATTTAATTTTGTGTGAGATTTTTCTGAAAACTTTTTCTTAATTGAAAATGCTGAAAATGTATTCTTTACGTTATTGAGATACATTTTCTTTGTGTGATAAGTTATTCTAACCTGAAAACGTTTATGGTTGGTTTTATTTTGTCCTGACATACTGAAGTCGAGATGTCAGGTCCGATATGATTACAGACTTTTCTTTGGAATTTGATGAGAATCTCTAGATATATAGCATTAACACCAGACCATATATAGCAGTTATATTCAATGCACGGACGAATGGTTGATCTATAAGTGTGCAAGATGAATTCTCAGCCATTACTGTGTTTTCTCATCTTAAATTCGTTCTTTGAATGATTGGTTCTATACGACTTATCAACTTTTTGCGGGTTATATAAAAACGGAAAACATTTTTAGATTGTAAGAATTTTTAGAGATAATAATGGTTTAGTAATACAAATCTTACAAATTAGCCCTTAGAGGAGAGGAGGTGGATTCATACCTTTCTCAAGGTAATTTGCACAATGAACCCAACTGGAATTTAAATTCAACTCTCCGATTCCCAATTCCAAGCAGTTACCAATTAAACCACTGCACATCCAAGCTTACAGCACCTTTTATTCTCAAGCTGTTACTGATCTAGGTACTGACTAGACTTGACGTTGCTCAACTTCAGTGAACATACGATGCGGTGTTTTAACGTGATGCGGCCGTAAGGCGAATTTATTCTTCAACCTTCGTTAGGTGTATGCTGTAAATAAAAATACAAAAATCTAAAGACGCATATTATTATAAGAAGAAGAAAGAACTATTAATAATAAATAATAATAACAATGATGAGGAGGAAGAGAAGAAGAAAGAAGTAATAATAATGAGGAGGAGGATGAGAAGAAAGAAGTAATAATGATGAGGAGGAGGATGAGAAGAAAGAAGTAATAATGAGGAGGAGGAGGATGAGAAGAAAGAAAATAATGAGGAGGAGGAGGATGAGAAGAAAAGTAATAATGATGAGGAGGAGGATGAGAAGAAAGAAGTAATAATGAGGAGGAGGAGGATGAGAAGAAAGAAGTAATAATGAGGAGGAGGAGGATGAGAAGAAAGAAGTAATAATGAGGAGGAGGAGGATGAGAAGAAAGAAGTAATAATGAGGAGGAGGAGGATGAGAAGAAAGAAGAAGGAGGAGGAGGATGAGAAGAAATAAGTAATAATGAGGAGGAGGAGGATGAGAAGAAATAAGTAATAATAATGAGGAGGAGGAGGATGAGAAGAAATAAGTAATAATAATGAGGAGGAGGAGGAGGATGAGAAGAAATAAGTAATAATAATGAGGAGGAGGAGGAGGAGGATGAAGAAATAAGTAATAATAATGAGGAGGAGGATGAGAAGAAATAAGTAATAATAATGAGGAGGAGGATGAGAAGAAATAAGTAATAATAATGAGGAGGAGGATGAGAAGAAATAATAATAATAATGAGGAGGAGGATGAGAAGAAATAAGTAATAATAATGGGAGGAGGATGAGAAGAAATAAGTAATAATAATGAGGAGGAGGATGAGAAGAAATAAGTAATAATAATGAGGAGGAGGATGAGAAGAAATAAGTAATAATAATGAGGAGGAGGATGAGAAGAAATAAGTAATAATAATGAGGAGGAGGATGAGAAGAAATAAGTAATAATAAAGGAGGAGGATGAGAAAAATAAGTAATAATAATGAGGAGGAGGATGAGAAGAAATAAGTAATAATAATGAGGAGGAGGATGAGAAGAAATAAGTAATAATAATGAGGAGGAGGATGAGAAGAATAAGTAATAATAATGAGGAGGAGGATGAGAAGAAATAAGTAATAATAATGAGGAGGAGGATGAGAAGAAAAGTAATAATAATGAGGAGGAGGATGAGAAGAAATAAGTAATAATAATGAGGAGGAGGATGAGAAGAAATAAGTAATAATAATGAGGGGAGGAGGATGAGAAGAAATAAGTAATAATAATGAGGAGGAGGATGAGAAGGTAATAATAATGAGGAGGAGGATGAGAAGAAATAAGTAATAATAATGAGGAGGAGGATGGAAGAAATAAGTAATAATAATGAGGAGGAGGATGAGAAGAAATAAGTAATAATAATGAGGAGGAGGATGAGAAGAAATAAGTAATAATAATGAGGAGGAGGATGAGAAGGTAATAATAATGAGGAGGAGATGAAAGAAATAAGTAATAATAATGAGGAGGAGGATGAAGAAATAAGTAATAATAATGAGGAGGAGGATGAGAAGAAATAATAATAATGAGGAGGAGGATGAGAAGAAATAAGTAATAATAAGGAGGAGGATGAGAAGAAATAAGTAATAATAATGAGGAGGAGGATGAGAAAGAAAGAAATAAGTAATAATAAGGAGGAGGATGAGAAGAAATAAGTAATAATAATGAGGAGGAGGATGAGAAGAAATAAGTAATAATAATGAGGAGGAGGATGATGAGAAGGTAATAATAATGAGGGAGGAGGGATGAGAAGAAATAAGTAATAATGAGGAGGAGGAGATGAGAAGAAATAATAATAATAATGAGGAGGAGGATGAGAAGAAATAAGTAATAATAATGAGGAGGAGGATGAGAAGAAATAAGTAATAATAATGAGGAGGAGGAGGATGAGAAGAAATAAGTAATAATAATGAGGAGGAGGAGGATGAGAAGAAATAAGTAATAATAATGAGGAGGAGGAGGATGAGAAGAAATAAGTAATAATAATGAGGAGGAGGAGGATGAGAAGAAAGTAATAATAATAATGAGGAGGAGGAGGATGAGAAGAAATAAGTAATAATAATGAGGAGGATGAGAAGAAATAAGTAATAATAATGAGGAGGATGAGAAGAAATAAGTAATAATAATGAGGAGGATGAGAAGAAATAAGTAATAATAATGAGGAGGATGAGAAGAAAGAAGTAATAATAATGAGGAGGATGAGAAGAAAGAAGTAATAATAATGAAGAGGAAAAGAAGAAAGAAGTAATAATAATAATAATAATGAGGAAGAGAAGTTGTTCAAATCACTGAAAATTAAACCAAGGCGTTTCAAGAGACAATAGACAAGAAACAATCGGCAAACCAACTAAAATGTGGAAAGAGATCCGTGGTTCGTATGCGGAATTGTGGCTCCAGACGAAAACAAATTCCTAAATAATTAAATCGGACATACCCCCACTTGCTTGCTTATCAAGACTGTAGTGCCCTCATTTCTCAGACTAGAGCTCTATAAGGACCCCATTTAAACCAACATGAAAATGTGCCAACCTCGATACACAACATACTCGTTGAGGACCCAAAGATGATACGCACCTCCAACCACAAAAAGCATCTAAAAAAAAAATTGTAGCATATATATATGTAAAGAGCCAGGTGAACCTACCTAGGTTTCACCTAAATGGGTCGTCAGGGTCAAACTGGCCAAAGAGTTAAAAATGGAACAGAAAATATAGTTTAAACCAAAAAACAATCATGACCACGTGAAAAAAAAAAACAACGTATAACCATTAAACACTCAACAACATGGGGTTAGGGGTTACATTCTTTATTCAACAAAAAAAAATAAACTATGGACTCTGAGCTTGAATTCTGGACGATTGTTTTCGCCTCAATTCCATGTTCTTTGTTCTTTCTTTTTTTTTATTCCTCATTTTTCCTTGGGTACTTGTTTGTTCAACTACAAGCCGAAATACCTAAGGTCTTTTCAAGCTAGTACCACTATATATATATATATATATATATATATAATTGTTTGTTTGTTTTTTTTATTTTAAATGATGGAACATGTCCGTCTCATCTGTGTACTTGCTTTTGTTGACAAATCGGAACAATAGCTATATAAAACATAACCATTAAATCACTCAAGTGTGCTCTAAGAACTACATCTCCACACATTGAATAATCAAGAAATAAAGCACGAGAAAGAAATAGAATAATTTCATATTCTTTGATATCCAACGAACGTGCATATGTGAATGATATAGTCCAACGCGACGCCATGACCCAAAAATGTCTCACGTTATGTCAGAATTTCAATAAAGGCAAGCAAAAAAAAAAGATTAAATGGGAGTTTTCGTTTACATTTTTATCGTATTTTTTATTTTTATTTTTTTTGAAATTCTATTTTAGCATGCAGTTCGAAACAATGGTTCTAAGCCATTGATAAGGATAATGAAAATGCACTGTGGCAAATAGCAGTTTAAAAGATGAAAGAATTTTTTCTCGAAATAATGACAAAAAAAAGATACTAATAGACTTAAGGAGAGGAAAGATACCTGAGAAAAGTTAAATTACTAAAACCAATTACCGAATAACGATGCCTAGACGTTCGATTACATCATCTAGCGTGACAAAGAATACTCGTCTCTCCTTCTACCGATCCCAAAACTCATTCATGACCTTCGACCTAAACACGCTTCGATTTAAGAGGCCAGCTTCGAGCTGAATCGACAGCCATTTTAGATTTGAAGCTTCTTTCTCGCGATAGCAACGAACTCAGAGTGAGGGGGGTACGTTAATTGCGCATGTAAATCAGTGTACACCCCACACCTCTCTTCGCAAACACTGTTTCCGACCGACTGGGCATGAATTATGGGAAAACCAAATCTTCGTGATGGGCAAAAGGCGACAATGTCAAGTTAGTGAACAGAATGAAAGGAAGTGAAGAAATATATTTAAAAAAAAAAATATGGATAAAATACTCGAGTCGGAATGCTGATATTTAATTCTACTTTAAACATCTACGATTTTACAAGTACAAATGACTGATATTTTTTTAAATTTATTTTATTAAGCCTAAATAGAATTGGAATCAAAATCTATCATAACTAGTCTTAAATTAGATGACGAATGGGCAAACTTTTTTTCTGAAAAAAAGAACATTGTAAAAATGACTGTTTTTCCGTTGACACCGATATTATTTTAACTACCTTCACTCCTCGATGATTAAAATAAAACCTAAATATATGATAAAAGTGAATTTATACATATTGAGAATTTACAACAAAAATATTAAAAATTATTAGATATTTACACGAATAAATTTATATTCCAAAACCTAATACAATGCAGTAATTATCATTTACAAAGAAATAAATATGAAAACATTTTTATTCATAAAGTTTCAAACATATACTAAATTATTAAAATATATGAACCAACTATAAGGAAATCCTTATTATTTACCATTTTATAAAGTTCGAATCACTTGGCAATTAGCTGATGATTTGCCAACCATTCCAATAAACAATTCAATAGTGTAAATAAACACTAATAAATAAATAGTGTTTATTATTTTTGTTTTCAAATCGCAAGAACAAAGAAAAATCTTAATTATTAATAATGCATGGCAGTTAAGAATAAATTTGAAGTACACTAACATACGACAATGTTCAACGCAAAAGGCAGTGGACAGACAAGGATAAATTTCCTCAACCGAACCCAAAACCCGAGCTTCGTAAAAGAAAGGTAATGATGTGCGTGTGGTAAGATGGTCCAGTTATTATTCAGTCAGCGTTTCTAAAACGAAGTGAAATGCTAAACACATATTTATAAAGGGAGTTTCATTAAGACGGATCAAAGTCCGCAAGAAATAAATCAGTGTTATTGGCAAAAAGTTATATAATTCTCTATTGGATCATGTTATTCAAGTTATGGCACTTATGTGTGAGAAGTAATATCGCCCAAATGCCCGCCAAATCTGAAAGAGAAAGAAAAAATCATTAGACGTTTAAACTTAATTCCCGTTAAAATAGGTCCAAGTTATTGGAACCCCCTTTACTATATATATTTGAACTATTTTCCTAATTTTTGTTGTTATTATAAGAACGCTTCAGTCGTTGTGGTCTCTGGCCTTCCTCGGGTGTATATTGATCAATAACAATGAAGATGAAGACACTAGTCCAAATATAAATTGTGTAAGTAATGATAACTCCCCGTTCTAGAAAAATTTAGACGTAAGTGCACATTTGTTCATAAAAGTTTGGTTGAAAAGCGGCCTGCTTTCGTCAAATGGAAAAATGTTGTCCTCCTCTACGACAACACAAAGTCTGACCTTGCACCAAACGATTACTACCTATCTTTTTTTCTTTTTCTTTTCCGATCGCTGCATAATGCACTGAAGGGGGGAAAACTTCTAATAAAATCCAGACTCAAGAGTACTTTGAAAACTTTTTTTCCTTTTTTTAATCATTTCACCCCAAGCTAACCAATAATGGCACTAATACGCAGAGGGGAGGGGGACACCTCGAAGTATTGTAATGGTTAGCAAGCTTGTCTTGCTAAAACAATTACGACTGAGTAGTGAGTTCGATCCTCACTAGGTGCCCCTACTTTCGGCCTTGTGCCGCATCTAAGCTACGCTTGGAAAATCACTTTGGGCACTACGAGGCGGTGTAATGGTTATAGATGCTTGTCTCGCTAGAATAATTACGACTGAGTAGTGAGTTCGATCCTCACTGGGTCTCTCTACTTTCGGCCTTGTGCCACATCTAAGCTACGCTTGGAAAATCACTTGGGCACCTCGAGGTGGTGTAATGGTTAGCAAGCTTGTCTCGCTAGAATAATTACAACTGAATAGTGAGTTCGATCCTCACTGGATGCCCCCTACATTCGGCCTTCTGCCACATCTAAGCTACGCTTGGAAAATCACTATACGCAGAGGGGAGGGCGCTGTGTGTTAGACGATATGAGAAACAACACAATAATGGACAATTAAAAAACAAGAATTAAGTAAACATTTAAATTTTTGAAGGTCAAAGTTGGATGGGGAACAAAATACCAGAAGAGTTCCACAAGCGAGAAGTGCGATTTCAACTGTAAAATTATGTGACACTACAAACACATCATCGAAATTACCGGTCTAAGAAGATTTAATGACGGCATAAATAACTACAAATTCTGAGGTACACAGAAATATGCAGAATGCTTAAGAACTGAAACCTTTTTGAATCATTTCACCCCAAGAAAGACAATAAAGCCACTAAGAAGCAGATGTTTACGGAGTGTGAAAGGATATAAAATATTTAAGGAGCGAGAGCAATAAAAGTAGAGGAATTAAGAAGACAAAAGATAACGATTGACATTGCATTTAAATTTTTGAAGATTAAAGTTGACTTGAAAGCAAGGAAGTCGGAAAAGAGGCCCTTCATGCCTTTAATAATACCCTGTGAGTGTCAAATTCTCTCAGCCCACTCTCCTCAGTTTCGACTGTAACCAACACGAAATACCGAGACCAGCGAACAGTTCGAGTTTCAACTGAGACTGCTTTGGTTCACTTTAGAAAGGCATGACTCCACTTTCCCTTGCACTATGCCCGTTCGTCAAATATCTCAAATGTTTCGTCGCTGACGGACTGTTTTGATGAGAGCGGGCAATTAGGCGTGGGTGGGATAACTCCGTAATTACTGTAATTTCTCGAAAATAATACGCACCCATAAATAATACGCACTCCAACAAAGTATCCAAAAATTAAGAAATATATCTATCCCTATGTATAATACGCATCTGTAAATTTTGTCAACAAAATCAAAAAAATAATTACGAAGACATTTTGTCGACCTTAACATTAAGAATTAAATTGAAACTAAGCGGGTAAGATAATGTTGAAAATTACCAGCGGTTTTCCCGGTAAATATAACATTTTATTTTACCGCAAATTTTTAACGAAAATTAATAGAATTATCAGAAAGAATTGGAAACAGAGCTGCAGCTAGAGAATATGAGTTTAATGAGGCTAACATACGTTTATGGAGAAGGAATAAAAATGAATTAAAAAGTGTAAATCAAATGCCAAATGTTATAGGTAGAAGAAGAAAATCTCAATATCCAGATATGGAACAAAGTTCAGTTGAATTTGTGAAAGAAAGACGATGAATGTTCCATAAGTACTGTGGAAATAAGGATGAAGACAAAAGAACTTATGAAAACCATGTATCCTGGAAACCTATTTAAAGCTTCAACAAACTGGTGTTTTCTTTTTACGAAGAGGTTATTATTGTTGTTGGATTTAAAATGAAAATTGGGATAATATCTTATTTTAGAACAATTACGTATCTATTATTATAAATCAATAAAACCCCTTTCCACGTCGGAGTGAATACGAACCATTTACAATGCAAATTTATTGCACACTGTAGTTCCCCTTCTGTTTGAGTCTGTTTTAATACTACGTTACTTTGATTGATTTTATGCATAAACGCACGCATGCGTGAGCACATATGCACGCAAATAATACAAACAAAGGATTAATTACATATTTGATGGCCTATAAGATCGACCATTTATATGAATATTACAGTATTATGGCGTTAGGCAAGGTACAAGGCATAGTCTATGGCAAGGGTTCCCAACCTTTTCTGCTTCATCGCCCACTTTTCCACCGCCTACCTATATAGTAAATATAGAAAAGCATCCCAAAATTGTTTGGTAAAAGTTTATTACTGGCTCATAAACTGACTTTATGATGCAGTGAAAAAATATCAAAGGGAGGTAACAAATAACGCTAACTTATGCGAAGGCAGCGATTACTAAATGATGCAAATTAAACAAAAGAAAGCAAACTTGTCGAGTGAAAACTCTATATGTAATTTAGTTTTATGGTCAAGGTTAGTTGTAAGTACTGAAAAAAATTAAACGATTTGTGTTCATAATTATAAAATATGAATTATTAGGAACTAATAAAAATTCAGCAAATATTCTTTTGTTGTTCTTGGTCTTCCCTTGAAATTTTTTTCGTCTATAAATAATATATTTCATCTGAAGAAATATTTGAAATGTTAATAGCCCTTCCCAAAACTATAGAAAATATTCCTTGTTTTTTCTTTTTTTGTGGGGGAGGGGATATTTATATATTATCTAGTAATGTGACCAAAGTATTCCCATTTAGCCTCCTAGGCCACAAAAATCTCCTGAGCCGACCAAGCATAGAAATGAATACAATATGGGAACCAGTAATAAGCAGTGCCAGAGAAAAGCGATGATAACAACAAAAATTGCAATATGAGCTCTGGTAAAAAAAAAATGGTTGCTGAAGACATTAGGTTTATAATACCCAGAAATTCATACACAGATGTCGTCAAAGACACATGACACAAGGGATAAAGGCGTTAGTTAGATCCAGTGACAGGACCCAAAGAGTGTGAGTTCAATACCTGGTTAAGGCGGTGGAGAACTTGGTGAGTGAAATTAACAGGAACTAGAACAGTCGACCCCAGTGAGCAAAATAAAAGGTTCAGTTCGACATTCCAACTACCTGAAGAAGGCCGGAGCGTACAACGGCCGAAACACATGGCAACAAAGATGAGTACAATAGTCTGAATAATATATATATATATATATATATATATATATATATATATATATATTTATTTACTCTCTACAAAAGATGCAACTTCGTTTTGGTGCATTTAGTTGCACCTCGACTGGTGAGAACTATAATGGTTATCCATTTTATCCACCCAGATAACCCTTTTGCTTCTCACCAGTGGAGGTGCAA